ACCTCAAAGCAAAATGACCCCAAGAAATTATATTATTCCGTATCATTTCTTCAATATTATTTAATTTATTCATTTTATTAATATTTAATTAAAATTTCTTCCTTTCATTTCATTTAAATTGTTTGCTCTTATTTTAATATTTTAGTTCAAATACAGGATGTCTCTTACCTCAATTAGAATGATATTAGAATGAGTAAATGTGATATCAACTTGGTTTGATTTCTCGAATATATGAATATATTATTTAGTTATGCATAGAAATTTTGGAATCAGCGGGACAGGTGTCACGACGATATTCCAATTTGACGTGATAATTGAGCTTAAGTAGGGCTAATGACCTCGATAGTTTAATCGAAGGACATTGATACTAAATGTTTTATAGGTTATATCATGATTAGGAGGTTAAGAGGGAGGTGAGGCAAATTAGGCAGTCTAACAACTATAGTACATTAGTTGTTAGCCAGGAAGTATACTGTACTGATGTCAGATTATTTTACCAGCTTTCTTTTCCCTAGATAATAATGCCCGTTGGATCAAACATGAAAAGAATTAAAACAAAAAATCTCAAATCGGCCTATCACAAAAGTCCCTTTCTAGCTCTAATGAATAGTTTTTGAAATCTCATTCGTCTTGTTGTTTGATTGCTTTAAGAGTGCTTATTTCTTGAAGCGGTTTCCAAAAAACTCCTTACAGTACTTTTGGAATATAGCGTTCATAGTGACACAGATATTACTGCGTACGCCTATTCAGATATATTATTTTTGAGGTATATAATCTCAAGAAGGAAACATATGTAACTTTATAGTGTATTTACATTCTTGCTCAAAATTGAATTCTAAGTTGAGCTAGGCATGTCCATCGGTCTGTTTGTCAATTGGAAAAATATTCCAATACAAATAATTTTATTCAAGAAACCTTCTCAACAAACTTTTAGCGGCACACGTTCTGTACAGACTTTTGTTCTATTGATTATAATATCAGAGATTTTCAGCGTGTATTGAAATTACACCTGCATGCTATACATACTATTACATACAATACAATAATGGTAGATGATAAGTTTGTAGAATATTACCCCTTGGGGACTGTTTTTTTTTTTTTTTTGGATATGTGAAAGAAGGAAATTTTATCAGTTATATTAGATATAGAAAATATTTGGATAATATTTTTACAATTTTTTTATGAATTTATTTTATAGTTTTTTTTTTTAATTCTATATGCTTGTTTGTGGTTTAAATCCTTTTTTTTATCAGATTAATTTATTCATCATATACTCATCAGAATATCCTTGAAGCAACCAATTTTTCGTTTGATTACCCCATTGTGAATACCATATTATATAATATGCTTACGTCATATCCTAAGTATACATTTACTATTGCATTCAAGCTATACCTGTGGAAAATGTTGCTACTTCTCTGCATTATTTCAACATTTATTATATTTGCTTATGGGTATACTATGTATAGAATCAGTAGTATTCATACACATGCAAAAGGATTGCATATTAGCTACACATTCGCATAATAGTATGAGTAAATTTGAAATGCAACAATGCAATATTGGGTGAATGAATAGAATATTAACGAACTCTGTATATTTTATGTATGCCTTTTAGGGGATTGAGTCTTCAATATAAGGATTCTTTTAAGGATATGTTTTTTAATTCATTTTTGTTAATCACATAAGTTTTATTATTTTCTCAACACATACCTGTACCCTTAACATACTATACCCACCAAAGTACATGTTTGAAAGAAATATTTTGAAATAAAATTTGTTTGAAATTTTCTAATTTGAATTGGAAAACTTTAGAGCATATTGAAAACTAAAAACAAGAACTTTGTTCGGTAAGGAAATAATAAAAGTGTAATTTATCAGAATCTCAAAATAAATGAAATGGATGGTGAATAAAAAGATTTTGTATGGGGAAAATTTTATAATGAAATTTATATTGGTAATTAATAGAATCGATTTTCAAAATATTTTGATAACCAAAGATTTATTAAATTGATGCTTTAATTAAATTAGGAAAGTTTTAAGTTGTTTTCCTTCAATGTTTTTAAAGATCTTTTTTTTATTACTTGGATCATAAAACACTTTAGATTACCAAAGTGTTGTTATGTGGAAATGATTTTGAACGGCAATAGAGCATAGCTTTGCCAGTATCACCGCTTTAATCACCATACGAATTAATTATTCTTTGATCTCGGCAAGTGCTCTGAAATAGAGGTTGACAACTGCAACTGGTAGTTCAATATTTAGAAAACCAAAAATAAATTGGAATCTGGAATGTTAATACAGAAATAAATGACCGCATTTTTATAAACTTAGCTTTTGTGTAATTGCTAACACAAGTAGACTGACATAGACTGACATAGCTGAATGAGCTTAAAAGCAAGTGTATATTGATGAGAGCATGTCTCCTTCTCAAAACCATTTTTTTTTTCTAAGCGTTTCAAAAATTTCAAGCAGTTACTATATTTACTCTCGGAATATAGTTTAAACGGGTATATAGTAAATTTTTTTTTGAGCCACTTTAGGTACTTTATGTAAAATATGTGTTCAATAAGAAAGCAACAATATTACGTTCAAATTAATGAAGTTGGTCAGAAATTCACTAAAATTGAACGTGGAATTAATTTGAAGTAATTTATTAAGCAAGTGAACAAATTTTGAGACAGTTGGTATAGTTTGTTCGAATCAATATAACAAAGAAACTAGCTTGAATGTGGCAAAAACTTTCAGAAAAGATAAATTATAGACATAATTCAAATATGGTTCGGACATGTTTAGAAGTTAGTTTTAGGAAAAAACCAACATATTTGTTCCTTGCGAACATACATTTTCGGTGTATGCATTTGATCAGCGTCGTATTCTGAGTCGATTTAACTATGTCTGCTAGTCTATTCGTTTGGCCTCCGTCCGTCTAAACCATAACTCAAAAACTAATTGTGCCAAGCTCGTTCAATTTTCATAAATCATTTAAATCATAGTCAATGAATAGAACCCTATTGCATCTAATCGCGATCTCGGTTCTGGTAGCTGCCCTACAACTTTAAAATTAATTTGGCTATATATCAGAAATTATTGAAGCTATTAAAAAGAAATATTGATATTATTGGGGTTTTTCATTGTATCTTTATTCGCAAGGGTATCAGAGAGTTGACAGGGTCAACTTTATATCTATTCTGCTTTTAATTAAATTTAAAATGAAAATTTTTTAATAAAAAGTTTAATTCACAATATTTTCATTTTATTATTAGAATACGAAACAGAAATTTATATGTACACAAAATGAAATTGAAAAACTTTCAAAAATACAAGTTCGAAGAATACAAAATCACTTAAAATAATTTTTTTCAGTATTTTGTATAGCAAAAGACTACGTAATTTCTAAAAAATTTACCAAAAAAAAAAAAATTTTTCAAATATTTTTTTGCTTTTGTTTTTCTCTAAAGATCACATACACTTCCTCATACTAATCATATTTTGATGCGTCAAATGTCCATTAGGAATAAAAAAATGTTCGCCTTAAAAAATACAAAAAAAAAACTAACTTGAATTGCTAATGTCTACATACATAATCACACCTATAAATATGTTTACATACAATATACAAAATTCGCTTTGCAAAATTATAAATTTAGATTTTTTTTTTGCAAAGAAAAATAAACTATTCCAAAAAAATATATTTTAATTATTTTGAAACCCACTTGAAGATTTTTTATACCCTTTCTTATTTTTCTCATTGTTGTTGGTTTTTTCACACATTCAATTTTCTAATCGCATTATATATTACGTACGCACTATAGTATATTACGGAAAGACCTTGTTGTTTCTTTATAAAATGATTTATAATAGAAAAACATTGTAATTCTAAATGGCATTAACATAGATCATTGAACCAGACCTCAATTCCTATAAATAGACCAGACTATATACAATTTGGTTCAATATTGTAATAAAATAAACTGAACATTATTGTTATACCGAATTCTATACACACATATGTGTGTACTATATAGAGTGAGTGTGTGCATATGTGCAATATCGTATTTTATATAATAAAATAATATTAAGATTTATGTTCCATTTTAAATCATCCAAAAAAAAAGTAAAGCAAAACAAAAAAAAAAAACACTTTTTCACTTTCTCTTTATGTTAAAAATATAAAAATGTTTTTTGAACACAACACCCAAATCAAACTTGTAATAACAATTTTATTAAAATAATAGCCGAGCAAAATAAAACAGAAGAAAGAGTGAATTGTACCGTATACCGCCACCTATTGTGAATATACTCGTACATACACAACTCCGAGTTTATAAAATTGAGGCGTCTGTTTTGTTTTTCATCATTTTCATATACACACTTTTGTTTTCTTTTTTTTCTTGTATTTCCAAATGGTTTCTTAAAGATTTTGTATTGCCGGCTACCAGGAACATTTTCATTCTCCCAGAACGGAAGAATAAGAATTATAATGCGAATGCTATTATACAATTACTAAAATTGTAATAAGAAAAAAAAAAAATAAGAAGAAAGCAGAAAAAAATTTTGTTTTTTTTTGGTGTTTTTTTTTTTTTGGTGTTCAAGATCGGCGGCACATGTTTACAATATTATTTTAATGAAGTTCATAAAAGAAGAAAAAAAATTAAATCGAATAATACTGCCGATAAAGAAATTTATATCTACAATCTACATAATAATCAGCATCTATATAAAACTGTGCGTTTAAAACAGAAAAATAAATTTAAAAAGGCAGAATTTTGCTTTCTTAATTTGCCCGAAGAAAATACAAAACATTTTTTCAGTTGCATTCGATTATTCTTGAGTAAAATATCGGAACGCATATTCAAATTTTACTACAAAATATTCAAAATTTAAAAAAATTTCATTATGGTACGTAATTAAATTTTAAAATATTTTAAGAGCAAATCATGTTATTTGTCAAAATAATTTACATATGTCATTTTTTTAATTTTACATAAAATTTTCAGATTTTAAAAATTTATTGCCTTACAATAATACTCTTGTTCTATATCAATTTGAGCATCAGTTCTATTTTAAATCATAAAGATACAGGATCTGCAACTATAATAAATTCAATAAGTTTATCAGATTTACATGAAGTCCGTAGAGATTTAGATCAAAAAATTACAACAGTTAATAATTTGGTAATATTAATTGATGCTAATATTAAAGCATTACAAGAGAAAGCTCATGTTTGGGATTTATATCGTCATCATATTGATGCATGGAATGATCAAATGAAATCACTTGAACATAAAATTGATTTAATAAAATATAATCAAGATGAAAGTAAAATAATTGAAACAAAATTAACAAGTATGGAATTTCTAATGAATCATATATTATCAAAAATTGTATTACAAACTGATGGAACAAATATTGATGGTAGTATTTCAAATAATAATAATAATAATAATAATCGAAATATTAAAATTGGTAATCAATTAGATATTAAACATTATGATGATATTATGAAAATGTTAAAAGAGAATAAAGTAACTCAAAGGGAAATATCAAATAGACTTAATAATGTTTTAAGACATGTACTTAGTATTGAAAATTATAGTTGTCGAACATCATCTTCATCGTCATCATCAACAAAATTAAATAAAAATTCAAAGAGTGCTAATTTAATGAAACCAGTTGGTCGAGATACTGATTCAATATTAAGGAATATTGAATCAAAATTAGATGAACTGATGGGAGCATTAAAACCAAAAGAAATGAAGCAGGTATAAATTATTTTAATTAAATACAGTAGATTCTCAATATAATGAACAACCGAAGTTTCACGAATATTGATTATAAACAGAGAACTATATCACAGATTTTGTGATGTAGAATTATGAAAGCTAAAAATCTTGTTTTATTACCAATCAAATCAAACAAACAATAACGAATTTCCATCAGAGAGTTTACTGTATTTTTAAAAAAAAATTATTTTAATACTGCTTTAATTTTTTTATTCTACAGTTTATTTCATCGGAACGAAAAAATGCAAAAACTTTAGATGAAATATTAGTATTGTCACAAAATATCGCACAAATAAGTAGAACTTTATCAAATAATGAAGCTGAACATAGTCAAAAATTTATGAATTGTTGTGCATCAACAATGAATGAATTGTCAACATTTACAGAAAGTTCAGATTTATTATTGAAACGAATTGAAAGACTTGTATTAAATATACAAGAGAAAGTTGATAAAGTTGTTATTGCACGTGATACAACAACTGCACTTACAGAAACAGATGGAAATTCTGAAGAATTTAGTACAACAGAATTGGTAAGTGTTGTATTTGAGGGAACTTCATATGAAGAAATAATGACAACAAGTACATCAAATAATCCATCGTATGAAGTGGAAACAATTGAAGAAATGGAATCAACTGAAAGTGCTGAACCAGGTGAATATACGAACTTGAAAAATTAAAAAATTCATAAACTTTAAATTTAAATTTTAAATTTTTTCTTCAATTCAGACTATGTTCAACCATCAAAATATGGTTGCCACGATTTAACAGTACGTGCTGATGGTGTATATAAATTTTCTGGATCAACTGATGTTAATGAAGCTGGACGTGATTTTAATGAACGTTATTGTGCATTTCCAACTGATGGTGTTGGTTGGACAGTTATACAAAGACGTGGACCATATGATCATCAAGAGAATTTTAATAGATCATGGATTGATTATAAGAATGGTTTTGGTAGTTTAGCAAAAGATTTTTGGTTTGGTAATGAATTTATAAATCGTTTAACATACAATGGTACCTATGAATTAAGAATAGAACTTGAAGATTTTGATGATGTTAAAGTATGGGCTGAATATTCAATATTTCAAGTTGATTCAGAAAAATATAATTATAATTTAATAATTGGTGGTTATCGTGGCGCTGTAACAGATTCAATGTTATATCATCATACACAAGATTTTAGTACTTATGATCGTCGAAATGATAAATCAATTGATGAATGTTGTCCATGTGCAACTGGTTATGGTAGCGGATGGTGGTATGATAAGTAAGTAATAAATTAATATAAATATTGCGTCAAAAACTAAAACAGTGTATTATTGTAGTTGCTCAGAAGCTAATTTAAATGGTATTTATCATAATACACCATATGGACATAATTATATTGGTGTTGTATGGGAACATTGGCATGGTGATTATTCATTAAAAAAAACAAGAATGTTGATACGCCCTACAATTATTATTGGAAATGAAAGTGATGAAAATGTTGCTAAAGAGATCCCAGATGATCCTTAAATTGCATTTCATATACATTTAGAATTAAGAACGTACTTATATAATTGTAATTTCATAATTTGATGTCATTTTGAATTTCATTTTAAATACAAAATTTTTATTTTCCTTGACAATTCATTTAGTTATTTTATGGACCCAGTAAGAGAATAGCTTTTTTAGTTTAAAATGGATGTTGGCAGCAATACCTATACAAAATGTAATTGAAAGCCGAAAAAAAAACAATTAAACTTTTACCCTCAACCCGTAATTTTTCAATTAATCCCTGCACACACATAATAGAATATTGGCACATTACATACCCAATTATATGCCAAAAAATTGTATTTCTATATTGAAATATGTTGCATTGGCGCCATAAATAATTTTAGCGCTGCTTATATAACGAACAAGTTAATGGAAAAATCGAGGCGCTTCGATTCTATAGGCGATTTCTTCTAAAAATTTAACCACACACATCTATACCTGTACATTTATAAGAGAAGGTAAAAAAAAATTCACAACAACAAAAAATACAACAAAATTATAAAGGTAAACAAAAAATTCCTTACAAATTCTTGATTTTTGTGTTACTCTTCTCTAGCTATTTTAATTTCTTAAAAATAGTTTTGAGAAATTACTATTAGAAAGCCATTGCCGCAATGTTATATTTCACTCATGAAAATTTTTAAACTGTGAACTCAATGTTTGTACCGAATCAAGATTTTATGGTTTTAGATAAGAAATTTGGAGAATTCGTTAATATTAGTTTCCAATACAGAAGAAGTAGGGAAATACAGAAGTAGGGAAGATATTGAAATTTGATTTTGGCCATTATTAAACTGAAACTTGCTATGCAAAATTCATAATAGTTTATAAAATTAAAATTAAATTGTTTCGAATTTTAATGATAATATTGATTCTGCGAAAGTAGAGAGAACAGACTGAGTGCAAACATGTGAGAAATTGAAAGCCGCTGATGCTTTTAATTTGTGTTACTCAGTCCTAAACCTTCCATATCACATTACTGTGACAAACAATCCTATAAAAACGAGACTTCACGTTGCCTCTCATGTCATTTCAAGTACTGAATGTGTACATATGTATACGTACTCACTTCATAACACTTCACAAGCAAAGTATTCTGCAATAAATTTTTGAAAAGTGAAAGTTTTACGCGTATAAATCAAAAATTGAAAATTTTTCTTAATAATTTTTTGTCTTGTGTTTTTTCCTTTTTTCATTTTATACAATTTTCATATGCGCTTGTATTTACGTCTGCTGTGAGAAGTGAGTGTTCTTAAAAAATATTTTTTTTTAAGAAAATTCCTGAGAAACTGAAATTTGAAAAACGCGAATGAAGAATTTTATTTTATTATTTTTCTCTCTTTTTATGAAAATTTCTTTGTATCTCTACGTCTGTTTCTTGATTTTTGTTATTGAATTGATATGAAAATAAAATTTTTAGTGAAAGACACTTTACAGTGCCCTCAAAATTTTATTTTATCTATTATATTCAAAATTTTTCTTGTAAAGTTTCCATTTTATCAGGTTATTTTCAAAAAGTTTTGATTGATTTATTGTTTTGTTTATTTTCAGAACATGCGATTGATTTTATTCTTAATATTTTGTACAATAAGAACAGTCAACAACAGAGAATTGAAATACTCTAATAAATGGAGAAATAAATAAAGTTGGGTCAAACCAATGGTTTGTATTGTAGCACTTTTCCCTTCAACAAGTTAAAATCCTGCTTTTAAAAACACTCTATGTATATCTACCACACTATTAAAATTATTTTCATTCATAAACGGTACTATTTCTAGGATTGCATATATTTAGGATGACACATACATGCAGTCTTTGAAATAAAGCAAAAATTAATATAAAAAGGGGTTGCTCGATTTTAAGGGTTAATTGTGTGAGTTAAGAAAAATAATTATATTTTTTAATTTCATGGAATTTACCAGTAGCTTTCTGCGTTTATAAAAATTTGGAAAAGCTTGCGGTTTCGGAAATATAAGGTGTCAAAAATTCAAATTTTACGAATTTCAAGAGGCGATAACTTGAGAGGGGGTGGAGATGGAAAAAAATTTTCTTCTAACGAAATGAATTTTTTGTTAATGTCTAAAAGCTCCTAAAATTTCAAAGTTCTTCAGGCTGGGGTCTTAAAGAAAAATGACATCAAAAATTTGGAAAAAAAACGACTTAAGATAACGGTAAATTTGAACGACCATTTTGTTTTTCTAAAGTTTAACTGTAGTATACCGCGTTAGGGGAAGCAAGCCACTGTCTTTCTGCGTTTGCAAAATTTCAAAAATGCTTATGGTTTCATTGCAACAAATAGTTAAAATAGGCCATTTTTAGTGTTTTGGGGGGGGTATAACTTCTAAAGGGGGGGAGATAGGTAAAAATTTTGTTCCACGGAAATAAGTTTCTAGTAAAGATCTATATACGTATTAAATTTCGGCTTTCTATCTTTAAGAATGTAGAAGTTTTGTAAACAGACACACGGACAGACGGACGGACGGACGGACGGACGGACGGACGGACGGACGGACGGACGGACGGACGGACAGACGGACGGACAGACGGACGGACGGACGGACGGACGGACGGACGGACGGACGGACGGACGGACGGACGGACGGACGGACGGACGGACAGAGTGAAACTAATAAGCACTTTTTTTCAAAAATTTTTTGGAAAAGTGCTAAAAAAGGAGAAAAGAGAAATTCATTCCATTACATTCTTTAATTTTTTTTGCCACGGTCGAGATTCAATAACATTCCATCTATTTGGAGTAGACTTACGCAATGAAAAAAATGCCTAAAAAATTATTTAATTTTTTATTTGAATCTTGAATCACACAGACCGATAGACAGATAGACCGACCGACAGGTAGACGTACCTCAGACCGACTGACCGTCAGACAGGCAGACAGAAAGACAAGTAGATAAACAGACCGAAATGCCTCTAAAAATTGTTTATTTACATTTTTTCATCATGGAGAAACAAATTTCTACTGAAAACTCTTCATATGAAATTTGATACCATCACATAACCTCCCTTATTATATGCAATGCGGTCGGTGAAAATTATCTGACATATTAGTATTTCATATTTTGCAAAAAAAAATTAAACATTTTATTATTAAGAACGTGCAAAAATAAAATTTTCTAAATATTTTATAATAAATTCCTCATTTTTATATTCTCAAACATAATTTTAATTATTATTTAAAATAAAATTAAAAATTTATTACACAAATTAAATAAAAAATACAAAACTCATAAATTTTTTTCATAGAAATTAAGGATTTTATTCATAAACACGTAGATAAATGGTAATATAAATTTTTTACAACTTTATTTTTACAGCATTAAAACAGAAAAAAAAAAATTTATTTTCTTTACATTCATATTTTTTAAAATTTTTAAATAAAATGCAATATATGGGGTATTACGAGTACATACATATGTACATAATATATAAAATTAATTGCTCAATTAATTATTTATGAAAAAATTTACTTAATTTACATGTACGTACCATCCCACATAATATTAAATTAAATAAACTGAGTAAACCCACCCTATTGAAAATTTTTTAATATTATTCTTAAATTTTTGATCATATCTACTATAATAAATCAAGGTTATTTCTATAATAATACGTTGCTCTATCAAAGGATATTAAGAATTTTTGGATTATAATTTCACTTAGGAAAAAAATTATTTGTTTGTTTTTTCTTCTGCTATAATTATCTATATGCTATTATGAGTATATTATGAATAAATATAGACAATGTGTGTATGTAAATCTTGTAAATAATATCCTTTTTTTACCGCAATTCCGACAAATTTCGGAAATCTTTTTGGAATAGTTTCTTATTCTGTGCGTCCGTAAGTTATTTTATATATTAGGCTGTTGAAGGTATTCCCACATCCTGTAAACTTTAAAATAAAAACTCAAACATAAAAACGAGAGATCTATTTCTCTAGAAGAACATTTTTATCTAGAAACACCGCTTTGAAAGCTCTGACACTTAAATGTCATTTAGAAAAATGAAAAGATTGCTTCCTCCATCATGTAAGCAAAAAGAAATATGTATTGTCATGTCGTTATGCAAAATAACCATCAAATTAGCCGAATTCTTTTTAAAGATTTTTAACATAATTCTTCCCTTAATCAGTAAATTATGAAACTCGAGAAGCTCCTTGTCATTAAGAGCTGGTTCACTTCGATGAAACAAAAGTTTTTCCTAACTTTACTCCAGTTTCTATTCTATTAATCAAAAAAATATCATAACTAATTGTTAAATGCCTTTTTTAATTAGTAAAATCCTAGAAGTATGCAATAGTCATCCCAAAAATATGCTATATTCATCCTAAAAGTATGCAATTAAACGACTTGTTATGATACTGAGTGAGTAATATAAAGTAGAGCATTATTAGTAAAAAATACATATTTTCATTTATTTAAATTAAATGTACTACTTCACCACCCATTGCTCAACCAGTAACATTTGTAAATATGTCGTCTAACGTTAATATAATATATGAAAGTTTATCTTCTTGCTTATAATTATTATAGCGTTATATTTTATTTAATTTTCAAACACTACATGAAAATAAGTTTGTCAAAGTACATTCTAAAGCATGTGATCCAATATATTGGAGTCTACCATAAATATTACTCCATATATTCCGTTTAACTATATATTTGTTCATTTTATATGTGTATTGCTACATATAGATTTTTTTGGTCAGCAGATAATAATAAAATAGTCTATAGTAAGCCACCAAAAAAAAAAACAAAGAGCTGTAGCATCTACTAACATATTAATTAGCATAGAAGAAAAATGAGGATATCAGAGAGTTAACAATAATGTTTTGTTGTCTTTTTGGTCATTTTGAATTTTTTCTTTTTGGTATTTATATGTGCTTTCTATTGTGTTCCAGAGTCTTTTATTCATAATATCTCACTGAAAATCTAAAAATGTTACTGACGTGTTGACATGT